AAATGCATTTCTTGTCAAGAAAAAAGGGACAAAAACTGCAGTTTTGAGTGAGGTGGCCAAGCTTTCGTCAGTGGTGGCCACAGCCACCCCCTGGCTCCGCCCCTGATTATGCCCTTTTTTACAATATGTAATATAAGTCTCTGGTTTCCCCAGAATGTGTCTGTGAAGTTTCAGCTCAAAATACTCCACAGATAATTTATTATAACATTTTGAAAATGCCTATTTTGAGTGGAAGCAGAAACACTGTTTTTCGGGCCTGCTTCTTTAAATGCACATGAGCTGCTGCTCCCCGCCCCCTTTTCCAGAATAGAGCTGCCATTACAGCTCGGACCTGCTAAAAACATCTGTTTTGGTTCTGATTATCATGCTTATAGCACTGAAATCATGCGTTTTAAACCATATGAGTTTAAACTTCTGATATACGGTTTTCTGAGTGCACACATCTGAAGCACATGGACAGAAAGCGGCTGTCACAGCATGTGAGTACTAGACTAAGTTCTCATTCACACACAAGTTTACGTTACAAAAACAGTCGGTTATGTCTGTGAAGGTAAACTGCTGGGAAATAAATTGCATGTTTATTTTAGATCTGTGTGGCAGCAGCAATATACAGTAAATAAATCAATAAATCCACTGCTCGCTTGTCTCCTCTGAGGCTGGGACTCTAAATAGTGTTCATTGCTCATCTGTGCAGCCAAAGACAGAACAGTTAGCATGTTTTCCTCAAACTTTCGCCATGGCATTAGAGCTGGTACACCGTTGTCGCTTGTGAAATCAAAATGACAGCGTCATGGGTGTAAATTTACAGATTAAGGGGCGGTAATATTATAATGAGATCCCTTTGCCACGTCACCAAGGGAGCTAAATTAGACGCACTTGTTTTGTCAGACGCTTGCAGAAAAAGGCTTCCCAAACAAAGTTACTGGGTTAATCTTTTTCACGTTTCCTTGGTTGGTAGATGCACCAGGGACCTGTTAGATTTTCATGATATGTCACCTTTAAATGCGCAAGGCTTCCAGTGTCAGCAGTATTTTAGCTGTACTTAAACAGTCTTATTCTGTGGATATTGCAAACTGGTATTTGTTATTTTATTATTTATTATCCTAATCATAACGACACTGGTTAGTAATGCAAATAATTTGACCATTTCATGCACTTTGCTTTTCTTCTGATTATTTACCTATAGTGGCAATTGAAGTATCACACATTTACAGAAAATTGCTTGCACACTGCAAAATAAGCTGAGTAATATAATGTAATTTCATTATTAAAGTAATATTAAAGATACATGTTGCTTGAAAATAATCCTGATATTATTAGAATATTCTATGTTTTTTAATTCATTTTTACTATTTATTAATTATTAGAACACATGGGTCATTTTGAATGACTGTTAATGGAGAAAGATTTTTGTGTCCAGATGTTGTTGTTCTCATATGTGCTGAAATTAAGTGTAAAAAAAAATATATTTTTTAATCTGTCATTGTACTTTAAGAAAGGAAATATTCCTTTGAGAAACTATTAAATTACACAGTTAACATGATTAAATACTGCAGGCTGCTTCAGGATTTAAGTCAACGCAAACATGAGCACAAAACTCTTCCAAATGTTTTTGCCACTACGGTACTATGAATGTTTTAGTTACTTTCGCTTGAATCGGCCCATCACAAAGCATTATATAGACGGAGTGATAAGGGATCTTGCTCCGCCTTTGTAAATATCACTTCACCTCTCTTCCACCTTCCTCTCGGTCTCTCAAAATGGACAGACATAAGCGAAACGGTGGTGCTGAAAAGCTCAGGGAAAAGTAGCTTAAAAATTTGGAGGTGGATGCCGCAAAATGTGCCTCGTCGTCGGCAGTTGCGAAATGTATACAGCAGCGTTATCAAGAACAGGCTTGCTCTGCTGTGAGTGATGCGGGCCAAAGGGACAGGCAGGAGGAGGAGAGGAGTTTAATCGGTAAGGAGCTCGATAACGGGCTCGCATGAAGGGGAAACCTGTCCTAATGCGTGTGCGCACCATGAGTGTAGAATACGTAAACACTTTTTAATAAAACGAAAATTCGTCCCTTGCTCTTTTTTGGCCAAGTCAAGTGTGTTCACAGAGGTTTCCATGGGCCAATGCGAATACATCTAGATTTAAATATGACATGACGTTTTATTCTTATCCAAAACAATGAGCTGGGATATTCACACCATTTTTTATTTTGTGAGTTTGCAATATATTCAAATACTTAACTTTAAATATTAAAGATACTGTAATCACTGTGTTTTAAAAAAAATCATAATTTATTAACTTATTCTCCACCTTCCTCTCTTATTCTTATAAAGGTTGCATTCTTTGTGGAGGTCTTTGCTGTCCCTTAGTGTGAAGATTACTGGCAACATTTTAAATTATAGTAGCCTATATGTTGTAGTGTGCACAGTTGTTACTTATTTTTATTAATTGGAAATCATACTTTGACCTTTTAGCTTCTTTTCTTTGGGGGATATATATATAATATATATATGGTATACCTATATGTGGTGGGCCGCCTGGACCAAAGCCTGGACCAGTCCATTTGTAATCAGATTTCAGGTACTAAACAAAAGTGAGCCTCTAACTGATGGCATATAATTTGCATCATTGCACACTCCTGGTCACATTTATTATAGTGAAATGTGTCTCATAGCTGCTTGTCTCCAAATAAATTGCCTTTGGAGAGCAGCTCACATTGCTTTTCTTGCATCTTTTGCAATACCTGCACAGACAAATGCTGCAAAGTACTAAAACAAAAGTTTAGCAGAAGCTGGAATCTTCTCACCATGAATCGTTACTTTTTTCGTCACCACATGTTTCTAGTGGTGATAAGTTGCTGTAGTACAAGTTGATCACACAAATGTACTGCAGATCAGACCCAAAAGTACCTGAGTTCATACTGAGCCAAAGAATCAAACAACAACTTAAATCAGGGGTGTCCAAACCTGGTCCTGGAGGGTCACGTTTAGCTTCGACCCTAAATGAACCAGCTAATCAAGATATTCTGGACCTCTACTACAAATATGGAGTGTTTTCCATTTTGCTTTTAGACAAACTTCGCAAAATTTCCCTAAGTACTTCCCCTCGTGGGAATCCCGGATGCCATTTTGAAGTGCACTCTACTTTGTCAAGTGAATACATAAAATTTATATGGACAGACCCTTGATCCCTCAATTTCAAGAGGGAGCGAGTCAACTCGTATGTACACTTCAGCCAGCTCCTTATACCACAATGCAACACAATTGTGACGTGTGCAATTTATCCCCAACCGTCACAACTCTAATGTATGATATATATGAATTATTTTTTAGATTTAAACACATACTTGTTTCTTTTAGGACGTTCCAATTTACCCATCACAAGGATTCTGCCAGTAGTGGGCACTCGTAAAATATAACCAATCACATACATCCGAGTCAACAAGATGGAGGGAAGTTAAGGAGGGAAGGACATAAAAAGTGAAGTCAAACCATGGGTGTAGAATATCCAGGGGACATGAGGAATTGCATTCCAGCAGTGTGTTTTTTCCAGCAAGTGTGTTCACGTAGAGCCGAGGTACTCAACAGGCGGCCCGTCTGCATTCATTTTGTGGCCCGCATCATGGTGAAGATTAATGTATTTTTATTACAATTTGCGCTCACAATATCAGGCAGTTTGATTTTTTTTAATTAAATGTAATACAATCACAGTAGTAAAAGCTGCTCGATCTCTGCAAGCTCTGTAACAAACGTGCAATTAAAAAGCAACATGCCCCAAACAACTTAAAAGAGAAGCATTGTCCAACAAAAGAGGACATTTAATAACATGATTTTACTCCATAACATCAGTCGAGTGTTTGAAATAACTTCATTTTGTGAGCTGATGTGCGGTTTTTGTCATAAACGAGGCAGATAATATATTCTATATGGCAATAAAGGCTATGTCGATTAGCATTGGATTATACAGTAAAAATACTTTTCTATTATGAAAATACCAGAGATGGCTTAAATAACATAGACAAACCATATTGCCGCATCGTATGTTTATTGTTCATTATACTGTTCGTATGTATATATACATATATATATATATATATATTTTTTTTCATTCTCTGTGTTATTTTAAATAGGACAAGGACAATCAATACTTAGATAAGTAATAAACTATACGTATGTATTTCTAAATCAGTAAGTCTGCAAATATTGTCTTAAATAAAGTCTAATAATGCTAATTGTAATTTGTGGCCCTTCGCATTTATGTAGTTTAAATGCGGCCCACTTTGCATCTGAACTTACAGTAAGTACCCCTGACATAGAGGTTTTCAAGGGCTACTGTGAATAACTGTAGATTTAAATTCAAAGCAACAAGATAGTCTATGCATGACCTGAAGTTTTATTTGTATCCAAAACAAGGTGATGTGAACTTTGCAGAGCGCTAAACACTCTCATGCAGTGTATGTTTCATTCATACTCGACGCTAGAGGGCGCTCTCGTGCAGAAAGTCCAAAACAGACTTATAGAAGTAATAATTTGTGCCGTGCCAGCTATTGCAGCCAGGGCTCTATTGGTTGTGGCTAGAAGGGATACAGCTACAGCCAGAAAATAACAATACATTATATTTGCTACCTATTAGATTGTGTTTTATTAATGTGTACACATACCCCAACCCTAAACCCTGCCCTTACTATAATGCAAATACAGTAATTAATTGTTGTTCAGTATTGATGTGTATGTGCATGCCCAGTAGGACAATCTGGCCATAGCTGTATCCCTTCTTGCCCCAACCGGCTCAACGGCTCTGATCGCAGCTAAGCTGAATAAAAAGCAGAAACATTTTGACTGATGAAACGTGAAGACAATAAACATACAATTATGACAATATGTGTGTGTGTGTGTGTGTGTGTTTTCAAGTCATATCCAGGTAATAAATAAAGTATATGAATAATGATATGCTAATTGACATATCATTTTTTACAGTAGAAACGATCAATTGTATATTCCGCCTTATTCTGTGATAAAAATGGGAAAAAGTGTTTGTAGTGTATATAAACCAATAATAAAATTGTCATTAGGAACATATAGGAATAATATTATAGAATATTATTGGTTATTGTCCAGCAGTGTATTTGATTTCTTAGCCAGTTAAATAAATAACTAACTGTCAATTAGACACACACACACACAAAAAAAGGTATTACATTTGACATTTTTGTCCCCCTCACTTCTGAAATGATGTCTACACCCCTGAGTTTTTGAGACATGTGTGTTGGACCAGGTTGAAGCTAAACTCTGCAGGATGTTGGCCTTCCAGGAGCAGGACTGGACACCCATGACTTTGGAGCCCACTGACTGTCAATGTATGAACAAAAACATTTGAAACATTCTTCAAAATATCTTCTTTTGTGTTCCGCAGAAGTCATACATGTTTGTAATGAGGATTGTAATTGCAGTATATGCATCACATGAACTGGTGACAAGGTCTAATAAACCCCTGAGAGCTTGTATGTGTCACTGTGGTCTTCTCTTCTTAGAATTTCACTTGTCGGTGGATAAGATTGTAATGCCAAGCTTGATAAGATTGCAATGCCCATAATTTGAATGTCCCTGACTGGTGCATGCGATAAGCCAGGTTGAACTACATTGCCCAGAGTTCTCACCTATCAGGCCGGTGTACGCAACAAGGCAGGCTCCGTAATTTTCTTGCTGGCAGCCGCTGGCAGTAAGCTCGGAGGGTTGGCAGTCGTGCTGGAACTGAGACCAGCGAGACCTGAGGGAACCACAACAGCACATCCATCATCCAGCCAGTCAGCAAACCCTCAGAAACATGCATTCCCACAAACACTTTCCTCTACCTTGTGTTATGGGGCTACATACTCTGTTCTGTTTTGCCCTCTTCTGTTCTGTTTAGAAAGCTTTACACCAACACTCTCCACTCCATTCTCAGTCATTTTCTCTCTTTTTCAATCCCCCCTACATATACTATACACAGTTCTAATCCATTCGTATTGCTAATCAGAGACAGAACTGCAATTCAGAATTCTGGAGAACTGGCAGATACTCAGCCACCGGAAACTCAGCCGATAGCGACCATTTACATGCAGGTCACATTCTGCCAGTCCTCTGGTGACCAATCAATCATTTAACCAGGTCAGTCTCAGAGGAATTACCCACATTCCCTGCTGATTTCTTATGCTAACTGGCTGTTGTGGCTGTAAGTGATCTCCTCTTGTGTAATGTGTTGTGTCAGCAGAGTGTTCGCTTGGCGTGTGAAAGCGTGATGGTTGATCGATGGCAAAGACCGATGAAGGCCTTTGTGTTTGTGATGTGAAAAGAGGGAGGCTCAAATATGACCACTCAAACTCGGAGCCTTGCAGAGTGACTGCAGCTGTCAGACTCGTGTGTTTGTTGGATTTACGGTTTTCTGTTTATCCGTAGTGAACAGATAAAGCAACGGAGTGTAAAATCCTCCTATAGTTTTATTATGCTTATGATGTACAGTCTTCTATCTATACTGTATAACCTTGATTTTGGGCATTATTGCGTTTCAAAAGCTGTTGACAGCAATTCATTAATCATTATGCATTACATTCTCAGCAATGCCACAAGGGATGCCAAAAGGTTGGGGGGTCAGTAAGTTTTTTTGCTTGTTTGTTTAAGAAATTCATACTTTTATTCAGCAAAAACACATTAAATATTTAAAATTAATTCAGCTCTCAGAATCCTTAAAAATATCAAGCAGAACAACTATTAAATTGGTTTTCAACAGTTTTCAACTTGATAAGACAAATTTGATCTCAGCTTTAATGTCACAGAAATAAATATTTTTAAATATATATAAATTTTTTTACTATACAGTATTTTCATCAAATAAATGCAGCTTTGAGCGTAAAATACTTTTTCACCAGCATTAAAAAATCATACTGAGCCCAAAATTATGAATGGTTCAACAGTTTTTTTTAGCAAGCTTTATTTTGCAATTTAAAGCCACCATGTTTAGTAGCCAGCTAAAGGGAAAAAAACATATCCAGTTTAATGGTACCGTCATTCCTTTGAGTACCGTTGTTTGTTTCCGGTACAGCACTGTGAGAGCGCGCATTAATTATGTTTAACAGGACAGCACACCTGCAATACATTAGCAAGGATTACTGAAATAAAGTAGGTTTTTGATTGGTTTGATTTGATTGGTTGGTTTCTATGGCTCCTATTCAACAATATTAGCCTCTTTGCTGCCCTCAGCAGCTTTGGAGCACCCTTGCATCTATGGGATATGACAAGACTTATTTGGAATGGTTCCACTATAAAAAAAATACTGCAATCAAATGGCATTGCTAAAGAATAATTGTTTATATGGAGTATATTAAAGTATTGGTTACACTTTATTTTAAGGTGTTCTTGTTACACATTACATGTACTTAGTATTATATTAACAATAAATTACGCATAATTACATGCAAGTAACCCTAAACCAAATCCTAATCCTAACCATATATTAAGTACATGTAGTTAATTAATATTACTCAGTACTTAAATTTATAATTACACTGTAACAAGGACACCTTAAAATAAAGTGTAACCAAAGTATTTTTGTTTAATAAAATAACACTTTTTAGGTTACTGATATGACCAGAGTGTTTATCTCATGTGAATTTACATCGTTTTAACACGTCTAACATATATTCATTTCTTCTGGTTTAAAACGTTTTGAATGGGAAAAAATGACTTTGTGCACCTTTATATATCACTCTCTACAGAGCACAGAGTTTCAATCTTCAGGCCCTTCAAAAGAGCTTGATTGTATTTGTAGCAGTCGTTTTCACACACAATACCCACTTGCACACATAGTCGGCCTCACAAACTCGAAGTTGTGCCAGGCAATTGGGTTTTTCCCTTTCTTCATAAGAGCATGCAGGCACAATGGTCTGGCGCCGTCGCTCTGCACAAGCCGTGTCAGAGCATGGACAGAAGAGCAGCTCGTGTGTGTAGTCTGGCGGCACACGGTCGAAGAACTTTCTCAGTGCTTTGCAACAGCGTGCTCGGTTGCAGGGCCCAGCCCGCGCCGATGGGGCGATGCACGCCGACACGTACTCCGTGCGTAGTTTCTGACACGTCTCATCCACATTACAGGCCTTAGCAGCGTCCAAACAACGGTTCACTGTTGTCATGCCCACCTCAGACTCTGAAAGGAAGGAGAGAGAGAAGCAAGCTTGTGATTCCTGGGTATAAAGAGATGAGCATGTTAGTTACACTTGCCTACTTTGGAGTACAAACGAAAAAGGTAGTTGGAGTGGCTACAGTCGCTGTCCAGTGCTGAAACAGAAGCCTGTACTCAAGATAACACAGAATACCAGACCACAACTGCAAAATGTGGCATTACTTACCATCCAACACAACATTCTTTCTACCTGAAGCCAAAATTATGCAATGCACCAACCCCATCTCATAAAAAAATATTACTATTTTGCAAGATGGCAAAGGTCCTTCTGTTCCAACCTTCTTTTCCCCTTCTTTTTCATTTCCTATAACCACCAATAAGGCATAAGCTGATTGTCGATCATTCCTTCCTTTCTTTGCTTGCTTCTTTCCTCTGCTTGCTTTTTCCTTTCTTCTTTCCCTGCTTTCTTTTCATCTTCATTTCCATTCTTCCCTCCTTCCTCCCATGCTTCTTTTCTTCCTTTCTTTTTTGGCCAAGTCAAGTGTGTTCACAGAGGTTTCCATGGGCCAATGCGAATACATCTAGATTTAAATATGACATGACGTTTTATTCTTATCCAAAACAATGAGCTGGGATATTCACACACCATTTTTTATTTTGTGAGTTTGCAATATATTCAAATACTTAACTTTAAATATTAAAGATACTGTAATCACTGTGTTTTAAAAAAAATCATAATTTATTAACTTATTCTCCACCTTCCTCTCTTATTCTTATAAAGGTTGCATTCTTTGTGGAGGTCTTTGCTGTCCCTTAGTGTGAAGATTACTGGCAACATTTTAAATTATAGTAGCCTATATGTTGTAGTGTGCACAGTTGTTACTTATTTTTATTAATTGGAAATCATACTTTGACCTTTTAGCTTCTTTTCTTTGGGGGATATATATATAATATATATATGGTATACCTATATGTGGTGGGCCGCCTGGACCAAAGCCTGGACCAGTCCATTTGTAATCAGATTTCAGGTACTAAACAAAAGTGAGCCTCTAACTGATGGCATATAATTTGCATCATTGCACACTCCTGGTCACATTTATTATAGTGAAATGTGTCTCATAGCTGCTTGTCTCCAAATAAATTGCCTTTGGAGAGCAGCTCACATTGCTTTTCTTGCATCTTTTGCAATACCTGCACAGACAAATGCTGCAAAGTACTAAAACAAAAGTTTAGCAGAAGCTGGAATCTTCTCACCATGAATCGTTACTTTTTTCGTCACCACATGTTTCTAGTGGTGATAAGTTGCTGTAGTACAAGTTGATCACACAAATGTACTGCAGATCAGACCCAAAAGTACCTGAGTTCATACTGAGCCAAAGAATCAAACAACAACTTAAATCAGGGGTGTCCAAACCTGGTCCTGGAGGGTCACGTTTAGCTTCGACCCTAAATGAACCAGCTAATCAAGATATTCTGGACCTCTACTACAAATATGGAGTGTTTTCCATTTTGCTTTTAGACAAACTTCGCAAAATTTCCCTAAGTACTTCCCCTCGTGGGAATCCCGGATGCCATTTTGAAGTGCACTCTACTTTGTCAAGTGAATACATAAAATTTATATGGACAGACCCTTGATCCCTCAATTTCAAGAGGGAGCGAGTCAACTCGTATGTACACTTCAGCCAGCTCCATATACCACAATGCAACACAATTGTGACGTGTGCAATTTATCCCCAACCGTCACAACTCTAATGTATGATATATATGAATTATTTTTTAGATTTAAACACATACTTGTTTCTTTTAGGACGTTCCAATTTACCCATCACAAGGATTCTGCCAGTAGTGGGCACTCGTAAAATATAACCAATCACATACATCCGAGTCAACAAGATGGAGGGAAGTTAAGGAGGGAAGGACATAAAAAGTGAAGTCAAACCATGGGTGTAGAATATCCAGGGGACATGAGGAATTGCATTCCAGCAGTGTGTTTTTTCCAGCAAGTGTGTTCACGTAGAGCCGAGGTACTCAACAGGCGGCCCGTCTGCATTCATTTTGTGGCCCGCATCATGGTGAAGATTAATGTATTTTTATTACAATTTGCGCTCACAATATCAGGCAGTTTGATTTTTTTTAATTAAATGTAATACAATCACAGTAGTAAAAGCTGCTCGATCTCTGCAAGCTCTGTAACAAACGTGCAATTAAAAAGCAACATGCCCCAAACAACTTAAAAGAGAAGCATTGTCCAACAAAAGAGGACATTTAATAACATGATTTTACTCCATAACATCAGTCGAGTGTTTGAAATAACTTCATTTTGTGAGCTGATGTGCGGTTTTTGTCATAAACGAGGCAGATAATATATTCTATATGGCAATAAAGGCTATGTCGATTAGCATTGGATTATACAGTAAAAATACTTTTCTATTATGAAAATACCAGAGATGGCTTAAATAACATAGACAAACCATATTGCCGCATCGTATGTTTATTGTTCATTATACTGTTCGTATGTATATATACATATATATATATATATATATTTTTTTTCATTCTCTGTGTTATTTTAAATAGGACAAGGACAATCAATACTTAGATAAGTAATAAACTATACGTATGTATTTCTAAATCAGTAAGTCTGCAAATATTGTCTTAAATAAAGTCTAATAATGCTAATTGTAATTTGTGGCCCTTCGCATTTATGTAGTTTAAATGCGGCCCACTTTGTATCTGAACTTACAGTAAGTACCCCTGACATAGAGGTTTTCAAGGGCTACTGTGAATAACTGTAGATTTAAATTCAAAGCAACAAGATAGTCTATGCATGACCTGAAGTTTTATTTGTATCCAAAACAAGGTGATGTGAACTTTGCAGAGCGCTAAACACTCTCATGCAGTGTATGTTTCATTCATACTCGACGCTAGAGGGCGCTCTCGTGCAGAAAGTCCAAAACAGACTTATAGAAGTAATAATTTGTGCCGTGCCAGCTATTGCAGCCAGGGCTCTATTGGTTGTGGCTAGAAGGGATACAGCTACAGCCAGAAAATAACAATACATTATATTTGCTACCTATTAGATTGTGTTTTATTAATGTGTACACATACCCCAACCCTAAACCTAACTGTCAATTAGACACACACACACACAAAAAAAGGTATTACATTTGACATTTTTGTCCCCCTCACTTCTGAAATGATGTCTACACCCCTGAGTTTTTGAGACATGTGTGTTGGACCAGGTTGAAGCTAAACTCTGCAGGATGTTGGCCTTCCAGGAGCAGGACTAGACACCCATGACTTTGGAGCCCACTGACTGTCAATGTATGAACAAAAACATTTGAAACATTCTTCAAAATATCTTCTTTTGTGTTCCGCAGAAGTCATACATGTTTGTAATGAGGATTGTAATTGCAGTATATGCATCACATGAACTGGTGACAAGGTTTTTAAGAAATTCATACTTTTATTCAGCAAAAACACATTAAATATTTAAAATTAATTCAGCTCTCAGAATCCTTAAAAATATCAAGCAGAACAACTATTAAATTGGTTTTCAACAGTTTTCAACTTGATAAGACAAATTTGATCTCAGCTTTAATGTCACAGAAATAAATATTTTTAAATATATATAAATTTTTTTACTATACAGTATTTTCATCAAATAAATGCAGCTTTGAGCGTAAAATACTTTTTCACCAGCATTAAAAAATCATACTGAGCCCAAAATTATGAATGGTTCAACAGTTTTTTTTAGCAAGCTTTATTTTGCAATTTAAAGCCATCATGTTTAGTAGCCAGCTAAAGGGAAAAAAACATATCCAGTTTAATGGTACCGTCATTCCTTTGAGTACCGTTGTTTGTTTCCGGTACAGCACTGTGAGAGCGCGCATTAATTATGTTTAACAGGACAGCACACCTGCAATACATTTGCAAGGATTACTGAAATAAAGTAGGTTTTTGATTGGTTTGATTTGATTGGTTGGTTTCTATGGCTCCTATTCAACAATATTAGCCTCTTTGCTGCCCTCAGCAGGTTTGGAGCACCCTTGCATCTATGGGATATGACAAGACTTATTTGGAATGGTTCCACTATAAAAAAAATACTGCAATCAAATGGCATTGCTAAAGAATAATTGTTTATATGGAGTATATTAAAGTATTGGTTACACTTTATTTTAAGGTGTTCTTGTTACACATTACATGTACTTAGTATTATATTAACAATAAATTACGCATAATTACATGCAAGTAACCCTAAACCAAATCCTAATCCTAACCATATATTAAGTACATGTAGTTAATTAATATTACTCAGTACTTAAATTTATAATTACACTGTAACAAGGACACCTTAAAATAAAGTGTAACCAAAGTATTTTTGTTTAATAAAATAACACTTTTTAGGTTACTGATATGACCAGAGTGTTTATCTCATGTGAATTTACATCGTTTTAACACGTCTAACATATATTCATTTCTTCTGGTTTAAAACGTTTTGAATGGGAAAAAATGACTTTGTGCACCTTTATATATCACTCTCTACAGAGCACAGAGTTTCAATCTTCAGGCCCTTCAAAAGAGCTTGATTGTATTTGTAGCAGTCGTTTTCACACACAATACCCACTTGCACACATAGTCGGCCTCACAAACTCGAAGTTGTGCCAGGCAATTGGGTTTTTCCCTTTCTTCATAAGAGCATGCAGGCACAATGGTCTGGCGCCGTCGCTCTGCACAAGCCGTGTCAGAGCATGGACAGAAGAGCAGCTCGTGTGTGTAGTCTGGCGGCACACGGTCGAAGAACTTTCTCAGTGCTTTGCAACAGCGTGCTCGGTTGCAGGGCCCAGCCCGCGCCGATGGGGCGATGCACGCCGACACGTACTCCGTGCGTAGTTTCTGACACGTCTCATCCACATTACAGGCCTTAGCAGCGTCCAAACAACGGTTCACTGTTGTCATGCCCACCTCAGACTCTGAAAGGAAGGAGAGAGAGAAGCAAGCTTGTGATTCCTGGGTATAAAGAGATGAGCATGTTAGTTACACTTGCCTACTTTGGAGTACAAACGAAAAAGGTAGTTGGAGTGGCTACAGTCGCTGTCCAGTGCTGAAACAGAAGCCTGTACTCAAGATAACACAGAATACCAGACCACAACTGCAAAATGTGGCATTACTTACCATCCAACACAACATTCTTTCTACCTGAAGCCAAAATTATGCAATGCACCAACCCCATCTCATAAAAAAATATTACTATTTTGCAAGATGGCAAAGGTCCTTCTGTTCCAACCTTCTTTTCCCCTTCTTTTTCATTTCCTATAACCACCAATAAGGCATAAGCTGATTGTCGATCATTCCTTCCTTTCTTTGCTTGCTTCTTTCCTCTGCTTGCTTTTTCCTTTCTTCTTTCCCTGCTTTCTTTTCATCTTCATTTCCATTCTTCCCTCCTTCCTCCCATGCTTCTTTTCTTCCTTTCTTTGTTTCCTTCTATCCTTTCTTTGCTTACTTTTACTTTGCTTTACTTTCTATTTCCCTTATTTTCCATTACCTAACATAAACATGGGGCATAAGCAGATTGTTCTTTCTTCCTTTTCTTTCCTTGCTTCCTTTCTTCCTTTCTTTTTTCTTCCTTCGATTTCTCCCTATTTCTTAACTTGCTATCCTTCCATCCCTCCTTCTGTGCTTCTTTCCTTCCTTTATTGCTTCTTTCTTTCCTCTACTGCTTCTTACTTTGCATCTGCTCTTTGCTGCCTTTCTTTTTTGTTTCACTTTGTTCCTTTGTTCTCCTGTCTTTTTTACTTCCTTCATTTCTTATCTTACTTGCTTCCTTTCTTTTTTACTTTCTTCTTTCCCAACTTTATTTTCCCCTTGTTATCCATTACTTTCTTTCTTTCTTGCTTCCATAGCTTCATTACTTTGCTTCTTCTCTGCTTTCCCCCGCCGTCTTTCTTTGCTTCCTTCCTTGTTTTTCTTTACTTCCTTATCTTTTCCCCTTCTATTCCATTTCCTAAACTTAACTGTCAATGGGGTATGAAATCATACAAATGAGATTGTAGCCACTAATGTCAAATGCAGAATAGTTACGAATCGCAATAAGAGTGTATTAAATGCACTTACAAAAGCAAAAAAAAAAAAACGTCATTAGTTATTTTCAGAACGGCCTTGTCCAACTGTCAGAGCAGCATGAGTTTTTGGAGGTGTGCTCTGGCTCATTGTTCTAATGAGGGTTGAGGTTCATACAGAACGTCTCTTTCTCTCATGTCCTAATGAAGGTTTGAGTTGGTCTGCTCTAAGAGGATGTGAGTCTGGGTGGCCTGTGTGTGCTGCTAATGAATAGAGCATGAGTGAGAATGAAAGTTGAATGAGTCTGGTCTCTATCACAGAGCAGGTCCCAGCTGAGACTGGCTGCTGCAGCTGCTTCATTTTTCATATCAGACTAATGTGGGCCGCAGAGAGCCTGCCAGCATTACACTGCCATAGAGCTCACTTTATCTCTCTCTCTCTCTCTCTTTCTTCCCCCATGAGCCGTGGACTTTTTTAACCACTGCCCCCTTCATTGTCATCTTTTTCTTCTTCTTCACCTTCACCATGTCTTTTAACATGTCCTATTTATCCTATCCATCCATTGTTCTTTGCTTAATTTCTTCAGTTTGTTTCCTTTCCTTGTTTCTTTCTGTCTTTCTGTACTTTCTTTCCCCATTCATTACTTTATTGTTCCTTTCTTTCTCCCCCCGCCCTAATTTCTTTTCTTTCCCTTCTTTCTTTTCACCTTTTTTAATTACATCTTTCTGTCCCTCATCCTTCTTCACTTCCCTTCCCTTCCATCCTTCCTTGGCTTGTTCGCTTTTTCTTTCCTCTTTTCTTGCTTTATTCTATCCTTTACAGTGGTGGCCAAAATTATTAGAAGACTAGTATTTTCAGCTGCTAAAAATGGGTTTAAGTCAGTTATTTCTATCTTTTGCTGCAGTGTGTCAGTAGGAAATTTCCAAACATTCATTTAGCCATTAATTGTAATAATACAGTGAGACTTTGTTTGCACAAGGAGTCTGACAACAGCCAGTGCTCCACACAGAGATCTGATCTCACCATCATCCAGTCTGTCTGGAACGACATGAAGAAACAGAAGAAACTGAGACAGACTAAATCCAGAAGAACTGTGGCAACGTCTCCAAGATGCTTCAAGAAACCTACCTGCAAAGCTACCTGAAAAACTATTTGCAAGTGCACTTAGGGCAAAAGCTGCTTTAAAGCTTTACAGGATGGTCACACCAAATGTTGATATAATATAGTTAATAGAAGTTAATTGATAAAGAAAATCTATTTAAGACATTATTTTTGACAGCATCCTCATTTTACAGCATTTTTACACAAGTGCCTAAAACTCTTAACAGTACTGTAGCTAAATTGCAGATAGGTTTCTTGAAGCATCTTGGAGACGTTGCCACAGTTCTTCTGGATTTAGTCTGTCTCAGTTTCTTCTGTTTCTTCATGTCATTCCAGACAGACTGATGATGATGAGATCAGATCTCCCTGGATTATTACAATTAATGACAAAATGAATGTTTGGAAATGTAAACTGATATTTCCTACTGACACACTACAACAAAAGATAGAAATAACTGACTTAAAACCATTTTTAGCTGCTGAAAATACTAGTGTTCTAAGAATTTTGTCCACCACTGAATTTCTTAATTTATTTTCTATTTTTTCCTTCCTTCATTTGCTTGCTTCCTTCCTTTTCTTCATTGCCTTTTCCCAATAATTTATTTTCTCCTTATTTATTTCCATCCATCATCCTTCCAATTATACTTTGTTTGTTGTATTTTCCTTCTTTGCTTTCTTGCTTCCTTCCTTTTCTTCATTGCCTTTTCCCACTAATTTATTTTCTCCTTATTTATTTCCATCCATCATCCTTCCAATTATACTTTGTTTGTTGTATTTTCCTTCTTTGCTTCCTTTCTTTGCTTTCTTGCTTCCTTCCTTCCTTTCATTTCCCTCCCACCTTTCTTCCGTCGCTTGTTTCCTTCCTTTCTTCCTTTTTTCTGTTTCCTTCCTTTTTATGAATGCTTGTTTCCTTACTTGTTCTTCCTTCCTTTCTTTTCCACCTTTCCACCTCATTTTCAGTACATTCTTCTGTCACTCCTTCCATGTTTGTATTTCTTCATTTTATTTTCCCTTGCTGTCTTTCTGTTGTTTGTTCGTTCTTTCATTCTTTGCTAACTTTCATTCTTATCTTAAATCTTTTTCCTTTCTTTCTTTCTTTCTTTCTTTCATATAAAAGGGATTCTGCTCCGAATCCGTTAGGTCATGTTAGCTCATGTCTGTTAAATAATCTTAGATGCAATATTTGATTTGAATAATGTATTAGTAAATGTTAAAATTAGGATTATTAAACACTTTAGAAGTTTTTTTTAATTGTTAGTTCATGTAACCTAATGTATGCAAATAGAACTTTATTGCAAAGTGTTACTGATCTGTCATTCATAATAAACTGTTATACAACATCTACTGCTGTAAACAAAAAGCAATATTATTACTTGTTTATGTGTGCAACTAAAGGAATAATTTACATGGCTTAACCTATGTCAACCTCATCCACTTTCCCTGCCTTTTCACAGTCACGCAACTTGTTTTCAGGGGGTCAGCAAGCTGCAAAGTGTGGAGGAATGAATGACAAACAACCTGAGCGCCTGATTTGTTCATCAAAAGACAATTTCATCCTTCCTGAAAATGATTTTAAAAAATATGAAAATAGCCTCTATTTAAATCAGAAGTTAATGTCAGAGAATATTTCTGATTTCCCATTATGCACAGTCAATTAATGACAAAATGAATGTTTGGAAATGTAAACTGATATTTCCTACTGACACACTACAACAAAAGATAGAAATAACTGACTTAAAACCATTTTTAGCTGCTGAAAATACTAGTGTTCTAAGAATTTTGTCCACCACTGAATTTCTTAATTTATTTTCTATTTTTTCCTTCCTTCATTTGCTTGCTTCCTTCCTTTTCTTCATTGCCTTTTCCCACTAATTTATTTTCTCCTTATTTATTTCCATCCATCATCCTTCCAATTATACTTTGTTTGTTGTATTTTCCTTCTTTGCTTCCTTTCTTTGCTTTCTTGCTTCCTTCCTTCCTTTCATTTCCCTCCCACCTTTCTTCCGTCGCTTGTTTCCTTCCTTTCTTCCTTTTTTCTGTTTCCTTCCTTTTTATGAATGCTTGTTTCCTTACTTGTTCTTCCTTCCTTTCTTTTCCACCTTTCCACCTCATTTTCAGTACATTCTTCTGTCACTCCTTCCATGCTTGTTTCTCTTCATTTTATTTTCCCTTGCTGTCTTTCTGTTGTTTGTTCGTTCTTTCATTCTTTGCTAACTTTCATTCTTATCTTAAATCTTTTTCCTTTCTTTCTTTCTTTCTTTCTTTCATATAAAAGGGATTCTGCTCAGAATCCGTTTGGGTGAGATTACTTTCTCATCCATCATTAATGGGTTTTGCGAGCTATATATATATATACAGTATATATATATATAATTTAAAATCTGTATCTTTCAAGGTTAATATAATTTATCCAGTAAAACACTGAAAGCATCATGCCACATGAATGAGTATGTAATAGAGATAATAAACACAAAAACAAACACACAAAGAAAAGAAAATGAACAAAAGTTCCTGTTTGGATATGTGGGCCTTTTAATTTGAGTCTGTAATACTGGCAGAAAAGCCTGTTACAAGGTCATTATAATGTTAAGAATATATTTAATTAATTTCTCACATTTTTCCCAGTTTCTTTGTCTTTTTACTATTATTATTTCTATATCTCTCCTCCCTCCCCTTTATAATTTCCACACTTTTGTTTGATCTTTGTTGTCTCTACCGAGCCAGCTTGTTAAACGCTCACAGTGTTTGAGAGTTGAGAGCAGCCATCATTAAAAGTCACGCATGAATGACCGACGTTACTTTCATTACTTTGAGGAAATCATTCTCTGTCCTATCCCCGAGAGTTTAAATGTTATTTTATGTGTGTCTGCTTGGACTCAAGTATGTATATGAGTGTGTGTGCAAGCAAGAGAGATGATGAGTAAATGGATCATTATGTGCTGCCCTCGGGGTCCATAAAATTCAGCTCATGCCTTAAGCACCCCATAAACTGAGGCTGACAAACTGACAGTTTTAGTCATGTGCCTCCTCCAAAAATAAGTTTCTAAACTTGGTACGGTGCTATTTTGAGTGAATGTAATGAGATGGGAGAGAGATGAGAAAGTGATGAGTGAAATGCCTTGATTAGAAAATGAAATTCTGAGATAAATCATCCGACCGTTTAGTCTTTGTTAGGTCCGTCTGAGAGTCTTTGGCCCACAATGAAATGTTTGTTCTGCTCCTGACAGGTCTAGGAGTAGGAAACGCAGTTTATCATCAACGGTGCCGATGAACGGCAACTATGTTATATCCAAGTACATTAAACAAAGCGCTCATGTTTTGCTGTTGTAAGCCATTAAGCTCTGCCCTATTAATAACTCTTCACTGCTAATGCTTGGCATAGAAGTGACAAAACACATCGTGATCAGTTCCAAATATCAATTCCAACACCACAGCACATAATCGGCATAGTGTGTCTGTGCAAATCACTGACCTGCAGCGATGGAGGCCAGGCGAACATAATCAAAGCCCCGCTCGACAGGCTCATAGGGGTAATTCTCCACCAAGCTCAGCCCTGTAAACGCACACGCAAACAGGGTTTTTCGTGGCTATGGTAACAGAGTATTTTGTTTCAGTGAATTAATGAGAGTGTCACAGGTAAAAGTTCAGTTTGAAGTAATGCTTCTATAATGCTAAACTGGTTAGCATATTAAAACGCAGCGTCTAATTAGCATCCATTGAAGTGGTTTCCGGGGACCGTGTGGGTGTGGGTATTAGAACTTGTAATTGCATCATTGTGCGAGCGAGTGCTTTGTATGTGACAGAAAAATTATGAATATGGATTTGCTCACCATGCAGCACGGACTGCTTGAGGCTCCAGTAGATGCTAAGACAGTTCTTCTCTCTCTTCATGCCCCGTTTGCACTGGCATCGGTGCAGAGGGCTAGACAGCAGGGCCGTCACGGCGTTCTCGCAGTGGTTGCGTGCCCCCGGACCCAGCTTCACGCTTCCGCCGCCTGCGACACACTGCCGCAGTGTTCTCAAGCGCGGGCTGCACGCCTCGTCGCTGGAGCACGAATCCCCCGCAGTCAGACAGTCCCACCGGCCCCCGGACACCAGCCGCGGCACCCCTGCACAGAACACACAGATCTATCAGGAACACTTTATAATAAGGTCCCATTAGTTAGCGTTATAGTTAATGCATTAAAAGGAAAGTTCACCAAAAAAAAATAAACCTCTTTCCTAACCTTCAATTTGTTCCAAATCTGTATAAGTTTATTTTGTCTGTTGAACACAGAAGGAGATATTTTGAAGAATGTTGGTAACCAATCAATTGACGGTAGCCATTCACTTTTATAGTGTGGAAAACATACTATGAAAGTCAACTGGTTGGTTATCAGCATTCTTCAAAATATCATGTGTTTAACAGAGTAAATGATGACAGAATTTTCATTTTTAGATGAACTATCACTTTAACTGGCATTATTACACAATGCTTTTAAATGCTTGATTCTAATTTGTCATTCCCCGATAATGACATCATAAAAGGGTTTTCACATCCACGTAATTATTTATTTGGTGAAAAGCCATGTGATGAGTGATATGACATTATCCCTTAACACTTTTGTGTTTTTGAATTAATTTGGTCGTCTTGTATCAAAGCCGCTTGTTTCATGTATTTACATGTGGCAAGTAGCCATATAATGTATCCAGGTGGTGGTTGTTGTTGTAAAATAAACCCCTTCAAATTAATACAAAATCCCTCCAGTTCGCACCAGGGTTCAGATCGCCTTGTTGGGGTTTGGTCTCTTATAACAACTGACTGGATCTACATTGTCCCTTACTTAACTAACAATGAGAATTTCATTTGTAACAGTATTTATTAATCGTTCACTGTTAGGTCATGTTAGCTCATGTCTGTTAAATAATCTTAGATGCAATATTTGATTTGAATAATGTATTAGTAAATGTTAAAATTAGGATTATTAAACACTTTAGAAGTTTTTTTTAATTGTTAGTTCATGTAACCTAATGTATGCAAATAGAACTTTATTGCAAAGTGTTACTGATCTGTCATTCATAATAAACTGTTATACAACATCTACTGCTGTAAACAAAAAGCAATATTATTACTTGTTTATGTGTGCAACTAAAGGAATAATTTACATGGCTTAACCTATGTCAACCTCATCCACTTACTGACCTGCAGCGATGGAGGCCAGGCGAACATAATCAAAGCCCCGCTCGACAGGCTCATAGGGGTAATTCTCCACCAAGCTCAGCCCTGTAAACGCACACGCAAACAGGGTTTTTCGTGGCTATGGTAACAGAGTATTTTGTTTCAGTGAATTAATGAGAGTGTCACAGGTAAAAGTTCAGTTTGAAGTAATGCTTCTATAATGCTAAACTGGTTAGCATATTAAAACGCAGCGTCTAATTAGCATCCACTGAAGTGGTTTCTGGGGACCGTGTGGGTGTGGGTATTAGAACTTGTAATTGCATCATTGTGCGAGCGAGTGCTTTGTATGTGACAGAAAAATTATGAATATGGATTTGCTCACCATGCAGCACGGACTGCTTGAGGCTCCAGTAGATGCTAAGACAGTTCTTCTCTCTCTTCATGCCCCGTTTGCACTGGCATCGGTGCAGAGGGCTAGACAGCAGGGCCGTCACGGCGTTCTCGCAGTGGTTGCGTGCCCCCGGACCCAGCTTCACGCTTCCGCCGCCTGCGACACACTGCCGCAGTGTTCTCAAGCGCGGGCTGCACGCCTCGTCGCTGGAGCACGAATCCCCCGCAGTCAGACAGTCCCACCGGCCCCCGGACACCAGCCGCGGCACCCCTGCACAGAACACACAGATCTATCAGGAACACTTTATAATAAGGTCCCATTAGTTAGCGTTATAGTTAATGCATTAAAAGGAAAGTTCACCAAAAAAAAATAAACCTCTTTCCTAACCTTCAATTTGTTCCAAATCTGTATAAGTTTATTTTGTCTGTTGAACACAGAAGGAGATATTTTGAAGAATGTTGGTAACCAATCAATTGACGGTAGCCATTCACTTTTATAGTGTGGAAAACATACTATGAAAGTCAACTGGTTGGTTATCAGCATTCTTCAAAATATCATGTGTTTAACAGAGTAAATGATGACAGAATTTTCATTTTTAGATGAACTATCACTTTAACTGGCATTATTACACAATGCTTTTAAATGCTTGATTCTAATTTGTCATTCCCCGATAATGACATCATAAAAGGGTTTTCACATCCACGTAATTATTTATTTGGTGAAAAGCCATGTGATGAGTGATATGACATTATCCCTTAACACTTTTGTGTTTTTGAATTAATTTGGTCGTCTTGTATCAAAGCCGCTTGTTTCATGTATTTACATGTGGCAAGTAGCCATATAATGTATCCAGGTGGTGGTTGTTGTTGTAAAATAAACCCCTTCAAATTAATACAAAATCCCTCCAGTTCGCACCAGGGTTCAGATCGCCTTGTTGGGGTTTGGTCTCTTATAACAACTGACTGGATCTACATTGTCCCTTACTTAACTAACAATGAGAATTTCATTTGTAACAGTATTTATTAATCGTTCACTGTTAGGTCATGTTAGCTCATGTCTGTTAAATAATCTTAGATGCAATATTTGATTTGAATAATGTATTAGTAAATGTTAAAATTAGGATTATTAAACACTTTAGAAGTTTTTTTTAATTGTTAGTTCATGTAACCTAATGTATGCAAATAGAACTTTATTGCAAAGTGTTACTGATCTGTCATTCATAATAAACTGTTATACAACATCTACTGCTGTAAACAAAAAGCAATATTATTACTTGTTTATGTGTGCAACTAAAGGAATAATTTACATGGCTTAACCTATGTCAACCTCATCCACTTTCCCTGCCTTTTCACAGTCACGCAACTTGTTTTCAGGGGGTCAGCAAGCTGCAAAGTGTGGAGGAATGAATGACAAACAACCTGAGCGCCTGATTTGTTCATCAAAAGACAATTTCATCCTTCCTGAAAATGATTTTAAAAAATATGAAAATAGCCTCTATTTAAATCAGAAGTTAATGTCAGAGAATATTTCTGATTTCCCATTATGCACAGTTGTTTTATCTCAAGGGCAGTAATTGCATCTCAACATATGCTTAGCTGAAACACCCATGTGAATAACTTCAGCAGGTAAAAAATATTTTCAACAGCTGTCTATAAATTTCCCAACACAATGCATGCACTAGCCCATAGTCTTTATTTAGCTTGTTAAGTGTTTGATATATGCAGTAAATATCTTCTATTGATGTTTACATATTGAGATCTTAAATATCATGATCTTAGCATTGTTTAAAGGAGCTGAATGCAATAATGGTCTCAGCCTCAGACGTCCCACCCACAGACAACCCACCATCTGTGCCCTGACCTTTTGATGCACACAAAACTGGCAAGTATATTTGAAAAGTTTGGGTTTTTCCAAGCCAGTCTGTGATTGAAGCTGCCCAAGGAGCTGCTGATATAGTTCTCAGCCACCTTTGAGTCTGTTCTCTATACCGCCGTAACTATCTCTGGTTTGGTTCAGCTACCAAATCGGACAGAAGGAAACTGCAATGGACTGTCAGGACTGCTGAGAAAATTATTGGTGCTCCAGTGCCCGCCCTCCAAGACCTGTGCATCTCGAAACGGGCGGGAGGAATCACTTCAGACTACACACACAGGCCACTGCCTCTTTGAACCGTTACTACAAAGTTTTTTTCCCCTCAGGCCATCTACCTCATGAACAATTAAAACTGCCTTATGGGTCTCACCATAGTGCTGCATTTCTATTGTGAACAATATGTCAATTCAACTCAAATATTTATTCAAATGGATGTACATATTCTATGCTGTACATCATTGTGAAAAAGAGGTACAGATTAACATACTTTAAAAAGAGTAACCATTACAAAATAATAATATACTTTAAAGGGGTCATATGATGCGATTTCAATTGTTCCTTTCTCTTTGGAGTGTTACAAGCTCTTGGTGCATAAAGAAGATCTGTAAAGTTGCAAAGACTAAAGTCTCAAATCCAAAGAGATATTCTTTATAAAAGTTAAGTGTTAACCACGCCTACCTAAAACGGCTCGTTCTAACACGCCCCCACATGTCTACGTCACTGTGTGGGAAGATTTGCATAACACCGCCCAAATGTTCACGCAAAGAAAGAAGGTGTAACTTTTATTCTCGCTGTAGTATTGTTGCCGCCGCCGCCGCCATGCCTTGGAGACACTGTGTTTCATTGTGAAAGTGAAACTATTTTGTTTGACCTTCCAAAAGAGGACCATATCCGCTTCGTCATGCCTGAAGCTGATCCGTGCTGGTCGCTGAGGAAATACATCAACTTCGCGCAATGGATCGCCAGA